ATGAATGACCTCTGAATGCAAACTCTAAAATGGAGCGCTTTGGAAAGGTGAGGAGATGAACAAGACAGTTCCTGATTTTGCCAAAGTCCACCTATATTTGCTAATAGAAGGAAAAGATCAGGAATGTATTAGATAGAATTCTGCCTGCATGCATATGTCTACTCATGTACGAGAACCAATCAGCTTAACCTCTTTGTACCACCTCTCCAGCTTCCAAAAGGATTCTGGGAACATTCAAAATCTGTTACAGGTGGCTTGAGAGTGGCAGTAATTTCAAGGTATGTGCAGGTGACTATGGGGATGGCATTGGTCAGGAAAGACGGCAGACGTGACATTTACACCTAGATTGCATGTCTAAAAAAATGGAACAGCTTCTGCAGCTCCTGGCTGCCAATAAACTATGGCCATAGCAGCGTAGCATTTCCATTGCACATCCTTGTGGTGCCCAGCAATCAAAAGGAGTACTTCTAATAAAACTTTAAACTGATGATGAGCATTTTATAGCCTATTCAGTTGATCTTAGCTCAGTTTAGCTCCAAGGCCAAATTCAGTTACCATGGGGGAGGGTTGAGGGGAACACCTGCTAAAAGTTCTAGTCTGCTCTCATCTGGTGTACTGCATTGCAAAAGCTCCAAATGAGAGCCACTAAGGAATGCCATCTGATGTTCCTGGTTCCTACAGTTTCACTTGTGTTGTTCCTCAGTGCTCTGGTCACTTCAAGCTGGATTGCAAGACACTGTAAGCAGGCCTGGGAACATGAAAAAATTCAGTTCACAAGAAGTATTTACATAGAAATACAATTTCCTATCCAGCATCGAGTCACAGGAATCCCAGGGGCTTTGTGTTTTCTGGTCCATTATCATGGCAAAGCAGGTGTCCTCGGCGCAGAAGCCAAAACAAAACAGAAGAGCATAAGAAGAAGTTAAATCCTTTCAGTTGTCTCCCTATAAATTAGAAAGCAACAAGATTGTTTTTCTCTGATCTTAAAAGCTTTATTTACATATCGTGCTAAACACAGCCAAAACTCAGCTCTGTATCATGTTGAACCCCTACTGAAGAAGAGTAGGCAGAAAACCAGTAGTTAGAAAAGAAAGTGTAGTGGGAGCCCTGACATGTACCAGTGTACAAATTCAATATTTGAGCGTGTATGTATCACAATTCCCTACATGTCCACTGATGACCGGGTTGATCCAAGCGACCGATATATGTAAGTTTTAACACCACTGTGGTAACAGCGTATCTTACTTCTAAGTGTGAAGCTGAACCACCAAACTGGAAAAGAGATAGTGTTGCATGCAGTGGGGTGCCCCACCTTGGTGATGACAAGTTCAAGCAAAGTGAAGCAGAGACTGTTTCCTCAAATGGATGAAGCTTTGTAGGTTATCACTGAAACAAGTTAAAAATACAATTTCAATGGGCTTTCAGTAGCCCACAAGAGGGTGAAACACTTCAAGAAGATCAATCGACTGTATCCTTGTAATGTAACATTTTTAACACCCGGGAGTTCTGTTCTAAGATGTCACTGTTCAGTTCAGTATTCAGTCTTTTCCTGCTCTGCCCCAGGCACAGGCCCTTTTTACAGTGGCCACATGAGGCCACACAAACACGTCTTCCTTATTTCAGAATTTTATTACTGGCAAGCACAAATTTTATCATATTATTATTTCATGTTGAGAAAATTCACCAGTTTCTCTGTTTATCACTGTGGCTTATTCAATGCCCTAATTAGCTGTGAGATCTGGGTCTCTAATCCCTTGCCTGGCTCTGACCTTGAAGGATTTTGGGTAAGCAAATTTTTGCTTTTCAGCTTGCATTTATCTGTCAGGAAAACACTAATGTTGAATTTATTTTTTTTTCATTGTGGCTTTTTAGGAAGTACCACCTTTAAGTTCTTGTGCTGCACGTGAGAGAAAGAATAAGACACCAAATTATGCTAGGTTCTTCCCTTTGGGACAGAAAGATCCAAGTGCACCAGAACTTTATAAACTTGACTAAAATTTTTCTTTCTCATTCTGCCTGTGAAATAACAGGCCTGAGAAACAGTATCGTTCAAAACCAGGACAGCATAAATTATTAATTATCATGATAATGCTAAGAAAATAATAGTTTTTAGTGGTGGCCATGGCATTGTAAAAGACCTTCAGATGCTGTTACATACCTCTTTGTACACACAGTCAGAGTTTCTACATCTTCATCACTGGGAATCTGAGCATCTTACATTTGCAGTATTTGCTGTATTTGCAGTGGACATAATCAGCAAAATTCCCACTGCAGGATATAATGCAGGTGTATTTTACATACTGTTGCACATGCAGGCACATTCTAATGTGATTCCAAAAGTACCAAGGCTTTTATCTGTACTGTCTCACTGGGTATAGATACTGGCCTTAAGGCAAGAAAACAGCAGATAATAACAGGATTCCAGTTTTAATTTTTGACTCAACCCTACAAAGATGTAGAAGAGGCTACAGAAGAGGCACCAGGGGTATTTTAGAAAAATTGTGTGCTAAGGGGCTCATCAGTCCTTGTGCACTCAAGGGATATCCATGCACCTCACACCTAATAGACAAAAGGTTATTAAACTGTTTTTTTCAACCAAAGTGTGGAGAAACACAATGATTAAACCAAGGACTTCCATGACTAAAACCAGAATCTTCCAGGTCCCAGTGAAATGCCTGGTTTGAAGTCTGTATTTTACCAGATGCATGGGGGGAAGCTCCTGTGGGAGGCCACTCTGTCAGAACAAGATAAAACCTAGCACAGGCCAACATGGTAGTGCTCGGAGTGAGGCAGTTACATACACAAGGAACCGCAATCTGACACAGAGACAAAATATCACTAACCAGCTGAGTTACCAGCTTCTGAGCTTGTCTGCTCTTCTAGGACTGAAAGAGAGCACAACCGTGAGCACCTGATGGACTGTATTTTGCATCTGGGTGAGACAACTGCCATTTGAAAATGCTGGTGATGAAATAAAAGCAGCAAGACACATGATACTCACTGCCCCACTCTGTGCACTGTTGCTGTGAAATGCTGGCAAGACAGGTACATTTTCATCTCCAGAACTCTCTTGCAGATACTGCTTTCATAGTTTGGTAGTGAGTTTTATGACAGCTGCAAATTTATCTTCAGTTTCTTGTCATCTGTGGTGTACTTCTTGCAACCTTCTTTCCTGGTCATTGACTCTTCCCCTGCTTTCACAAGCAGTGAAATCATTGGCTCCCATCAGTCAAAATGATCCCCAGTTTCCCCTGCAGCTTATCCAGTGCACAGTTATTGCTTGCTGCCACTGAAAATGTCCACAACCCACTGGACTTCTAGACTTCTAGATCCAGGTTGCCCTCTCAGTAGGCACTGTTTATGAAACTGCATGTGGCTAAGGGAAAGCTGGAATTGAAGCAGGCGGTCAGAGTGCAGGGAACAAAGTGTGCACACGCTTGTTAGGGTGTGAAGCAGAGCCTATATAATACAACTGGCAATGGAGGGAGGTGGTGCAAGGAATGAGGTTGGCACTTCCTCCTTTCAGTGCTTATTGGTTCACTGATGCCTTTCCCAGCAGCTCGGCCCTCACGGCCTTTGAAACAGACTGAAGAGGTACTTCACCAGGGTAAACATACAAGAATTGCAGGGCTGGGGCAGACATATGGGGGCTGTGGTGTAAGACAGTGGAGAAGATGGACATGTACTGGCAGAGAGAAAAGATGGAGGAATGCCACAGGCATGGCAGGAGATGAAACACTTAGAGGAAAACAAAGGCAGGTGGGAGGTGAGAGAGATGGTGCTATTACCATGGATGAAATCTGGGGAAAGGCCACGATGCCATAGCAAGAAAGGCAGCACAGAATGAAAATACATGATGTATGTGTCTCGTGCATCTGTACCAGGGAAGGAATGCAGCCGTGTCATGGGGCTTTCACTTGAGATGTCAAGACTGGCCTGCTTCCATGAAAGGGCTGAAAACAACGATGACAGGACAAAAATTCCCCGTGGTGTGGACAGATCGAGACACTTATCTGGAGTGAAGGGCCTTGAGAAGAACCCCTATGAAGAGCGGTTCATAGGCTCACTTTCAGCCTGCAGGAGACTGAGGGGAGACCTCACTGCAATGTACAAATTCCTCAGGAGGGGAAGAGGAGGGACAGGCACTGATCTCTGCTCTGTGGTGACCAGTGACAGGACACGAGGGAATGGCCTGAAGTTGTGCCAGGGGAGGTTTAGTTTGGATATTATAAAAAGGTTCTTCACCCAGAGGGGGGTTGGGCACTGAACAGCACTCCAAGGCAGTGGTCACAGCACCAAGCCTGACAGAGTTCAAGAAGTGCGTGGACAATGCTCTCAGGCACATGGTGTGACTCATGGGGATCTCCTGTGCAGGCCCACGAGCTGGACTCGATAATCCTTGTAGGTCCCTTCCAACTCAAAAGATTCTGTGATTCAGTGAGTGAGACGACACACGGCACCCCACGGGCCTCCTCCATATGGAGCTGGAGCCTGGCTGGAGGACGCTCCTGGCAGTCCTCTACGGGCCTGATAAAGGCGGAAGGGGGAAAAACAAGAAGGAAAAAGACTCCAGCCCTGCGCCTGGGGTTCGCAGCTTCCCAAAGCTGGCAAAACGAGTAACGCGATCAGTGACCGAACGCCGGCCTAGGGCATGCGCCGGGCTGCTCTCTGCCGCTCCTTCCCCGTAAAAAAGCTGATTAACGCGTGTCGCCCGGGTCAGGCCGGCGCTGGGTCCCGTTACCTCGGCCGCTTCCTGCCCGCCTCCCCCACCCCCGGCCCGGCCCGGCCCGGCTCAGCAGCCCGCGCGGGAGAGCCGCCGCCCTGCCGGAGAGTTTCCTCTTCCTCCAGCGGCGCGGCCGGGGCGGGAGGAGGAGGAGGAGGAAGGGGAAGGGGCCGGGAAGGCTCCAGCGCGGCCGCCGCTGGTGCGGCAGGGGCGGAGCGGCGCGGGAGGCGGCGCCAGCGGCCGGCGGGGCCCGGAGTCACCGTGTCACGGCGCCCGGGAAGCCGTTGCCGCCGGATCCGCCCCCCGCAGGGCGAGCGAGGAGGAAGGAGGAGGAGGAGAGGGAGGAGGAGGGAGGCCGGCTCCTCGCCGCCTCTTGTGTTTTCGCCCCCTTCCCGGCCCAGCCCCGGCCCCTCTCCTCTCGCAGCGGGGCGGCGGCGGGGGGGCGAGGCCGCAGCGGCGCCCGAGCTGCCCGCGGGAGCCCTGGGAGGGGCCTGGGCCGCCGCCTCTGGACTAGGATGTCCCGACATGAAGGTGAGCGGCGCGGGGCGCCCAGGCCGCTCCCGGCGACGGCGGCAGCGGGGCCCGGCCCGGCGGCCTCGGGGGCCGATCATCATCATGGCGCCGCCGGGAGCGGGCCCCGGGGCCCGGCGGCGGAAGGAAGGCGAGGCCCGGGCGGGCGGGCCGCGCTCTG